CCGCCGAAGCCTGCCCGAGCAAGGAGGAGGGGCAGCCTCGGCTGTATCCGTGACAGAGGTGGAAACGGAGCTGCACTTCCTAACCTCCTGACCAAATGTATGACCATATTAGAGACACATATTTCCCTCATGCCTTTATTCTTTTGGAACTTCTGAGTGTAATGTTTACTGTTCATTTCTATTGTTTATTTCACTTTTGTTTATTATCTTCTTCACTTGTTAACATATGTTTCCCATGCCAATAAAGCCCCTTACATTGAATTGACAAACCTTCCTCCTGCAGAAGCACAGACAGAAACAAACCTTCCTCCTGCAGACAGACAGAGACAAACCTTCCTCCCGCAGACAGACAGAGACAAACCTTCCTCCCGCAGACAGACAGAGACAAACCTTCCTCCCGCAGAAGCACAGACAGAGACAAACCTTCCTCCTGCAGAAGCACAGACAGAGACAAACCTTCCTCCTGCAGACAGACAGAGACAAACCTTCCTCCTGCAGACAGACAGAGACAAACCTTCCTCCTGCAGACAGACAGAGACAAACCTTCCTCCCGCAGAAGCACAGACAGAGACAAACCTTCCTCCCGCAGAAGCACAGACAGAGACAAACCTTCCTCCCGCAGAAGCACAGACAGACGGAACTCTGCTGTTATTACAAGACACATTCTAAATTCCAACAGTCTATCAAAATTCAATCAACAACTGGTGAATTCCACCAGTCTGCAAACCATAACAGAGCAGTGAGAGAGGAGCCTGTAACCTGGGGTGAAAAAGAGATAAAGGGAGAGAGAGGGGGAGATGAAGGAGCAGTGAAAGACAGATAGAGAGAAAAGAGGGGGAAGGGGGTAAAACAGAAAGATAAAAGAGGAGGATAGCAGACCGACAGAAAGAGGGCAGAGAGATAGGACAGAGACAGAACAGGGAGATAGAACAGAGAGATAGAACAGAGAAAACAGAGAGATAGGGAGATTGAACAGAGAGAGAACAGAGGTATAACAGAGATAGGGAGATTGAACAGAGAGATAGGGAGATAGAACAGAGAGATAGAACAGAGAGATAGGGAGATAGAACAGAGGGATAAAACACAGAGATCGGGAGATGGAACAGAGAGAGAACAGAGAGAGAACAGAGGTATAACAGAGATAGGGAGATTGAACAGAGAGATAGGGAGATAGAACAGAGAGATAGAACAGAGAGATAGGGAGATAGAACAGAGGGATAAAACACAGAGATCGGGAGATGGAACAGAGAGAGAACAGAGAGATAGAACAGAGTGATAGAAAAGAGAGATAGGACAGAGAATTAGAACAGAGACAGGGAGATAGAACAAAGAAGAACATAAGTAGGGATAGAACAGGGGAAAACCAGGATGGGAGATAACAGAGAGAGAAGGAGATAAACAATGAGAAGAGAATGACAGAGAATTACGAGACAGGAGATAGAACGACAGAGAGGGATAGAACAGAGTAAAACAGAGAGATAGGGAGATAAACAGAGAGAGAACAGAGAAAATGAGAGACAGAGTAGATAGACAAGAGATAGGGAGATAGAACAGAGAGATAGGGAGATGAGAACAGGGAGATAGAACAGAGAACAGAGAGATAGGAGAGAACAGAGAGAACAGAGGTATAACAGAGAGATAGGGAGATAGAACAGAGAGATAGGGAGATAGCACAGAGAGATAGAACAGAGAGAACAAGAATTAGAAGATGATTAGAACAGATGATAAACAGGAGATAGAACAGAGAAAACAGAGAGATAGGAGAAAACAATGGAATGACAGAGAGATAGAACAGAGAGAAACAGAGAGATAGGGAATGAACAGATAGATAGAACAAGATATAAAACACAGATAGAACAGGAGAGAGAACAGGAAACAGAGAGATAGGAGAGAATTAGAACAGAGATAGGGTAGAACAGGGAACAGGGATAAACGAGAGAGAACTAGGAGATTGAACAGATAGATAGAAGAGAGATAGAACAGAGAGATAAACAAGAAATCAGGAGATGGAGTTGAACGAGAGATAGACAGAGAAACAAGGAGATAGAGAGATCAGGATAACAGAGAATTAGGGAGATTGACAGAAGATAGAGGAGACTAGAACAGAGAGATAGGGAGATAGAACAGAGAGAGAACAGAGAATTAGAACAGAGATAGAACAGAGAGATAGAAAGATAGAAGAGAATTAAACAGAGAAAGTAGAGAGATGATGAGGCTAAACAGGAGAGATAGAAACAGAGAAAAATGAACAAAGAGAGAAAAGAGAGTAGAACAGTGGAAAACAGAGAGATAGGGAGATTGAACAGAGAGATAGGGAGATAGAACAGAGAGATAGGGAGATAGAACAGAGTAGGAATAAACAAGAGAATAACGGAGAGAACGAGGTAAACAGAGATAGACAGAGAGATAGAAGATAGAAGAGATGAGGACAGAGGAATAGAACACAATAGACGAAGATAGAGAGAGGAGTTAGAAAGGAGGTAGATAGACACAGAGAGAGGGAGATGGAGGAGAGAGGAGCAGATGACAGAGAGGGAGATGTAGAAAGGAAGACTGAACAGAGAGATGGGGAGAGAGGAGAGGGTAGAACGACGAGATAGGGAGATGGAGGAGGAGGGTAGCAGACTGACAGAGAGAGGGGGAGATGGAGGAGGAGGGTAGCAGACTGACAGAAAGAGAGGGGGAGATGGAGGAGGAGGGTAGCAGACTGACAGAGAGAGGGGGAGATGGAGGAGTGTAGAGAAAGTCAGACAGAGTGCAGAGAGAGGGGGAGATGGAGGAGGTGTGTACAGACAGAGAGACAGACAGACAGGAGCCTGGACAGAGACAGAGTCAGTCAGAAGAATGAGAGGTGAAACAGGAAATGAACTCTACCGAACAGGAAGTATGAAACCAACCATGACGTCACCACTGTCCTCCCCTGCCGAGCGTGAGTGTGTGTGTGGTTCTTTGAGTGGTAGTTTAGTTTGAACACATACAAGCACACCCAAACACACACACACACCCAAACACACACACACACACACCACACACACACACACAGGAATGAGGGCGCCATTCTCTGAAGGCAAAAGCCCCAATCTGGTGCCTAACCCTGACGTGACCTGTTGTGCCTAACCCTAACCCTGACGTGACCTGTTCTATACAGAAACAGAAAGAGGGTCATAAACGCACACATACACCACATGATCAAAAGTATGTGGATACCTGCTCATCAAACATCTCATTCCAAAATCATGGGCATTAATATGGAGTTGGTCCCCCCTTTGCTGCTATAACAGCCTCCACTCTTCTGGGAAGGCTTTCCACTAGATGTTGGAACATTGCTGCGGGGACTTGCTTCCATTCAGCCACAAGAGCATTAGTGACGTCGGGCACTGATGTTGGGCGATTAGGCCTGAGTCGCAGTCGGCGTTCCAATTCATCCCAAAGGTGTTCAATAGAATTGAGGTCAGGGCTCTGTGCAGACCAGTCAAGTTCTTCCACACCGATCTCGACAAATCATTTCTGTATGGACCTCACTTTATGCACAGGGGCATTGTCATGCTGAAACAGGAAAGGGCCTTCCCCAAACTGTTGTCACAAAGTCAGAAGCACAGAATCATCTAGAATGTCATTGTATGCTGTAGCGTTAAGACACCGGAGCAAATAAGTCTCCAAAAACAGGCTGACAGCCAAAATACGAAATGGTAACTATGACTGAAATAATAACGAAACAGGGAGAAGACTTCTTGAGTACATACTTCTCCGATCAGACACTGATTAGTCCTGTAACACTCAACACTGTGTTATAGTCTCCCACCATTATGATTTGATCATTTGTTGCCTGTAAATTCAATAAATTGGTATAAATATTTTCAAAGAAGTATGTATCATCCTGATTTGGACCATATAGATTAATGAGCCAAATCTGTTTTTCATCCACTTTCTTATAAGCGTCCGGATTAGAGTCCCGCTCCTTGAAAGCGGCAGCTCTAGCCTTTAGCTCAGCGCGGATGTTGCCTGTAATCTGAGACACACACTGAGACACACACTGAGACACACATACATACTGAATCACACACACACACACACACGGAGATACACACACACACACACACACACAGAGGCACACACAGAGGCACACACAGAGGCACACACTGAGACACACACTGAGACACACACACACACACACACCGCACCTCCGACCAAGCCCTTCACCTCCTACGCCCTCCTCCGACCTTCCCCACGATCCACCCCCTCACCTCCGACCCCCTCACCTCCGACCCCCTCACCTCTACATTGTAGTTCTGTGTCCGTGGCCTCATACCCTGGTCTGCAGGCACAGGTGGTGGCAGGCTGACCGACCCCTTCCCGTCTCACCGCACAAGCATGCTGGGGAGAGCTTCCAGCTCGCCCGCGGCGTCACTTCGTGTCTCCCCACACACCCTGCGGCCCCCTCACCCAGGCCATGGGGAACCGTCTCAGGGAACCGGGAGAAGGAGCGCGTCAGGGGGGGGCACTTCTTAAAATACACCTGGAGACAGAATGGATAGGGTTAGAGAAGACTGGGTTACCTGGAGACAGAAGGATGTGGTTAGAGAAGACTGGGGTTACCTGGAGACAGAATGGATAGGGGTAGAGAAGACTGGGTTACCTGGAGACAGAATGGATAGGGTTAGAGAAGACTGGGTTACCTGGAGACAGAATGGATAGGGTTAGAGAAGACTGGGTTACCTGGAGACAGAATGGATAGGGTTAGAGAAGACTGGGTTACCTGGAGACAGAATGGATAGGGTTAGAGAAGACTGGGTTACCTGGAGACAGAATGGATAGGGTTAGAGAAGACTGGGTTACCTGGAGACAGAATGGATAGGGTTAGAGAAGACTGGGTTACCTGGAGACAGAACGGATAGGGTTAGAGAAGACTGGGTTACCTGGAGACAGAACGGATAGGGTTAGAGAAGACTGGGTTACCTGGAGACAGAATGGATAGGGTTAGAGAAGACTGGGTTACCTGGAGACAGAATGGATAGGGTTAGAGAAGACTGGGTTACCTGGAGACAGAATGGATAGGGTTAGAGAAGACTGGGTTACCTGGAGACAGAATGGATAGGGTTAGAGAAGACTGGGTTACCTGGAGACAGAACGGATAGGGTTAGAGAAGACTGGGTTACCTGGAGACAGAATGGATAGGGTTAGAGAAGACTGGGTTACCTGGAGACAGAACGGATAGGGTTAGAGAAGACTGGGTTTACCTGGAGACAGAATGGATAGGGTTAGAGAAGACTGGGTTACCTGGAGACAGAATGGATAGGGTTAGAGAAGACTGGGTTACCTGGAGACAGAATGGATAGGGTTAGAGAAGACTGGGTTACCTGGAGACAGAATGGATAGGGTTAGAGAAGACTGGGTTACCTGGAGACAGAATGGATAGGGTTAGAGAAGACTGGGTTACCTGGAGACAGAATGGATAGGGTTAGAGAAGACTGGGTTACCTGGAGACAGAACGGATAGGGTTAGAGAATACTGGGTTACCTGGAGACAGAACGGATAGGGTTAGAGAAGACTGGGTTACCTGGAGACAGAATGGATAGGGTTAGAGAAGACTGGGTTACCTGGAGACAGAATGGATAGGGTTAGAGAAGACTGGGTTACCTGGAGACAGAATGGATAGGGTTAGAGAAGACTGGGTTACCTGGAGACAGAACGGATAGGGTTAGAGAAGACTGGGTTACCTGGAGACAGAATGGATAGGGTTAGAGAAGACTGGGTTACCTGGAGACAGAATGGATAGGGTTAGAGAAGACTGGGTTACCTGGAGACAGAATGGATAGGGTTAGAGAAGACTGGGTTACCTGGAGACAGAATGGATAGGGTTAGAGAAGACTGGGTTACCTGGAGACAGAATGGATAGGGTTAGAGAAGACTGGGTTACCTGGAGACAGAATGGATAGGGTTAGAGAAGACTGGGTTACCTGGAGACAGAATGGATAGGGTTAGAGAAGACTGGGTTACCTGGAGACAGAATGGATAGGGTTAGAGAAGACTGGATTACCTGGAGACAGAATGGATATGGTTAGAGAAGACTGGGTTACCTGGAGACAGAATGGATAGGGTTAGAGAAGACTGGGTTACCTGGAGACAGAATGGATAGGGTTAGAGAAGACTGGGTTACCTGGAGACAGAACGGATAGGGTTAGAGAAGACTGGGTTACCTGGAGACAGAATGGATAGGGTTAGAGAAGACTGGGTTACCTGGAGACAGAATGGATAGGGTTAGAGAAGACTGGGTTACCTGGAGACAGAATGGATAGGGTTAGAGAAGACTGGCTTACCTGGAGACAGAATGGATAGGGTTAGAGAAGACTGGGTTACCTGGAGACAGAATGGATAGGGTTAGAGAAGACTGGGTTACCTGGAGACAGAATGGATAGGGTTAGAGAAGACTGGGTTACCTGGAGACAGAATGGATAGGGTTAGAGAAGACTGGGTTACCTGGAGACAGAATGGATAGGGTTAGAGAAGACTGGGTTACCTGGAGACAGAATGGATAGGGTTAGAGAAGACTGGGTTACCTGGAGACAGAATGGATAGGGTTAGAGAAGAGTGGGAGCGGGTGTGTAGAGTCCGATTGAGTTGAAGCGTTAAGACTGCATTCTACATGATCAAATGTTACTTTAAAACTTACTTAAGACTAAGTAAAACTAGGTAACTAATGTTAACCTGTAAATGTAACTAAGTAACTTAAGAAGACCGTCCATACCCTGACAGCCAGTAAGTAAAACTAGGTAACTAATGTTAACCTGTAAATGTAACTAAGTAACTTAAGAAGACCGTCCATACCCTGACAGCCAGTAAGTAAAACTAGGTAACTAATGTTAACCTGTAAATGTAACTAAGTAACTTAAGAAGACCGTCCATACCCTGACAGCCAGTAAGTAAAACTAGGTAACTATTGTTAACCTGTAAATGTAACTAAGTAACTTAAGAAGACCGTCCATACCCTGACAGCCAGTAAGTAAAACTAGGTAACTAATGTTAACCTGTAAATGTAACTAAGTAACTTAAGAAGACCGTCCATACCCTGACAGCCAGTAAGTAAAACTAGGTAACTATTGTTAACCTGTGAATGTAACTAAGTAACTTAAGAAGACCGTCCATACCCTGACAGCCAGTAAGTAAAACTAGGTAACTATTGTTAACCTGTGAATGTAACTAAGTAACTTAAGAAGACCGTCCATACCCTGACAGCCAGTAAGTAAAACTAGGTAACTAATGTTAACCTGTGAATGTAACTAAGTAACTTAAGAAGACGGTCCATACCCTGACAGCCAGCAGAGCCATACAGGCTCCCTGTGCTTGGAAGGCTAGGTACATGCCCCTTTTAGTTAATGGACCAATCCTGAGCGTCTTCACATTGGATTTCTTCTCTCCACCCCTTCGAAGCAGGAAGTCAGCTGCTACTGTGTCCACCTGAGGAGAGAGCGGGTTAGGGAGGATGTTAAAACCAAGAAGGTCATCTGGTGGGATCTTCCTGTACTGGTCCATAAGCAGACTAACAAGACCAGGGAAGGATTTTGGTTGGTTGTCAAAGTGACAAACTCCTCCCATTGGTAGGTTTTCTCTGAATCTAAATACATTATCTAGTAGGGTTGGGCGGTAACCAGATTTTCATTCCGTCGTACAGTTTTCGTACCATACCGGAGTATACGGTATTACCGAATTTGCACACAATGGGTGTTATTTCTCAAATGTACATAAAAAACATTTGGGGGGGGGGGGGGGGCGGGGACGCACAAAACAATTTCGACAACAGGGATATTGATTCAGGAGGGGATTGAATGTCTCTGCTGTAACCAAGAAGTTTGATCTCGACATCTAGCCACTTAGCTAGCAAGTTAGCAAACCAGATGCATAGATGGAGCCCTGAGCTGGACCCCTGACCTGGAGCCCTGAGCTGGAGCCCTGAGATGGAGCCCTGAGCTGGAGCCCTGAGCTGGAGCCCTGACCTGGAGCCCTGAGCTGGAGCCCTGACCTGGAGCCCTGAGCTGGAGCCCTGAGCTGGAGCCCTGAGCTGGAGCCCTGAGCTGGAGCCCTGAGCTGGAGCCCTGAGATGGATATCATTTATTTGACACATCTTAGATTTCTTATATGTAGTTATACTTAACTTATAGTTATAAGCAGTGGCGTAGCAAGGCGGTATTGTGATATACCCCGGTATACGGTATATCTCCCAAGCCTACTGGCTGTCAATACAGTTTCTTCAGTAGCTGAACATGTCCACATAGCCACGAAAGTGACAAATTGACACATTTGCATATTTGTCAAAAATGACTTTATTTCAAAAGAGTGCTGTACGGCACTTTATGCAATCATATTGTTCTACACAGCTAGCGTAACTGGCCGTTTGGATTGGAAGCGTACCTTGGTATAGGGATTCTCCATCCAGGCAGGGTGCGTGTTTTGGAAGCGTACCTTGGTATAGGGGTTCTCCATCCAGGCAGGGTGCGTGTATTGGAAGCGTACCTTGGTATAGGGGTTCTCCATCCAGGCAGGGTGCGTGTATTGGAAGCGTACCTTGGTATAGGGGTTCTCCATCCAGGCAGGGTGCGTGTATTGGAAGCGTACCTTGGTATAGGGGTTCTCCATCCAGACAGGGTGCGTGTATTGGAAGCGTACCTTGGTATAGGGGTTCTCCATCCAGGCAGGGTGCGTGTATTGGAAGCGTACCTTGGTATAGGGGTTCTCCATCCAGGCAGGGTGCGTGTTGGTAGCTTCGTCCGTGTCTGTCTGATAGTGGTACAGGTTAAATGTCTCTTTACAGGACCGGTGGGAGTTATAGGGAAGAGACGAACACTCCATCATCGTAAACCTGTCAATACATTCATCAATGCATTAATCAATCAAATCAACAAGTCAATCAAATGCATTTATAAAGCCTTTTTACATCCGCAGTTGTGCTTTAAAAGTGCTTTACATTTTTAAAAAGTGCTTTACCCAGCCTAAAACCACGAAGACCAAGCAAAGCAGAAGCACAGTTGTTAGGAAAAACTCCCTAGAAGACAGAAACCTACAGAGGAACCAGGCTCAAGAGGGAAAACTCTCTAGAAGGCAGGAACCTAGAGAGGAACCAGGCTCAGAGGGGGAACATTCTCTAGAAGGCAGGAACCTAGGAAGAAACCTAGAGAGGAACCAGGCTCAGAGGGGGAACATTCTCTAGAAGGCAGGAACCTAGGAAGAAACCTAGAGAGGAACCAGGCTCAGAGGGGGAACATTCTCTAGAAGGCAGGAACCTAGAGAGGAACCAGGCTCAGAGGGGGAACACTCTAGAAGGCAGGAACCTAGAGAGGAACCAGGCTCAGAGGGGGAACACTCTCTAGAAGGCAGGAACCTAGAGAGGAACCAGGCTCAGAGGGGGAACATTCTCTAGAAGGCAGGAACCTAGAGAGGAACCAGGCTCAGAGGGGGAACATTCTCTAGAAGGCAGAAACCTAGAGAGGAACCAGGCTCAGAGGGGGAACATTCTCTAGAAGGCAGGAACCTAGAGAGGAACCAGGCTCAGAGGGGGAACATTCTCTAGAAGGCAGGAACCTAGAGAGGAACCCAGCGCCTACAATCAATTAACCAATTGAAGTGAACATCTGTATAACCCCATTAGCCAATCAGCATGTCCGTACCTTATCTCTACGTAGAGCACGGAGGCGGTCCTTCGGGGGATCAGCCGGCTCCTAAGCCAATGAGAGGTGCTGCCGTCTCCAGGACACAGCTGATAGGTCCTCACACTGTTCCCCTCATCATCCTGACCACTCATCTCCTCCCACTGAGACGTCATATAATACAGGTTAGAGGGCAGGTGTGTGTTCAGTGTGTGCGTGTTGGCATGTGTGTGTGCAGTGTAGGTGTGTGCTTGGTGTGTTCAGTGTGTATGTGTGTGTGTGTGTTCAGTGTGTGTGTTCAGTGTGTGTGTGTGAGTGTTCAGTGTATGTGAGTGTTCAGTGTATGTGTGTGTGTGTGTGTGTGTGTGTGTGTGTGTGTGTGTGTGTACCTCAGGGTCTGTGTGTGTGTGTGTGTGTGTGTGTGTGTGTGTGTGTGTGTGTGTGTGTGTGTGTGTGTGTGTGTTCAGTGTGTGTGTGTGTGTGTGTGTACCTCAGGGTCTGTGTGTGTTTGTGTGTGTGTGTGTGTACCTCAGGGTCTGTGTGTGTGTGTGTGTGTGTGTGTGTGTGTGTGTGTGTGTGTGTGTGTGTGTGTACCTCAGGGTCTGTGTGGGGGTAGACGGTCCATCGTAGATCTGAAGTCTCTAGCTTAGTGTTCATCACCACGTCTGGAGGAGAGAGAGAGAGAGAGAGATGACTTAGAGAGAGAGAGAGAGAGAGAGAGAGAGAGATGACTTAGAGAGATGACTTAAAGAGATGACTTAGAGAGATGACTTAGAGAGATTGTAGGGTGCTATAGGGTGACATAGCAATGACATTACATTGACATATTGACCCTGAAATAGGGACACGTATATGTTTCAGGAGTACATATATATTAGAATCAATATATGTAACAACAGGAGTACCAGTCAGAAGTTTGGACACACCTACTCATTCAAGGGTTCTTCTTTATTTTTACTATTTTCTACATTGTAGAATAATAGTGAAGACATCAAAACTATGAAATAACACATATGGAATCATGTAGTAACCAAAAACATGTTAAATAAATCAAAATATATTTTATATTTGAGATTCTTCAAATAGCCACCCTTTGCCTTGATGACAGCTTTGCACACTCTTGGCATTCTCTCAACCAGCTTCATGAGGTAGTCACCTGGAATGCATTTCAATTAACAGGTGTGCCTTCTTAAAAGTTAATTTGTGGAATTTCTTACCTTCTTAATGCGTTTGAGCCAATCAGTTGTGTTGTGACAAGGTAGGGGGGGTATACAGAAGATAGCCCTATTTGGTAAAAGACCAAGTCCATATCATGGCAACAACAGCTCAAATAAGCAAAGAGAAACGACAGTCCATCATTACTTTAAGACATGAAGGTCAGTCAATACGGAACATTTCAAGAACTTTGAACGTTTCTTCAAGTGCAGTCGCAAAAACCATCAAGCGCTATGATGAAACTGGCTCTCATGAGGACCGCCACAGGAATGGAAGACCCAGAGTTTCCTCTGTTGCAGAGGATACGTTCATTAGAGTTAATTGCACCTCAGATTGCAGCCCAAATAAATGCTTCACAGAGTTCAAGTAACAGACACATCTCAACATCAACTGTTCAGAGAGGACTGTGTGAATCAGGCCTTCATGGTCGATTTGCTGCAAAGAAGCCACTACTAAAAGACACCAATAAGAAGAAGAGACTTGCTTGGGCCAAGAAACACGAGCAATGGACATTAGACCGGTGGAAATCTGTCCTTTGGTCTGATGAGTCCAAATTTGAGATTTTTGGTTCCAAACCGCAGTGTCTTTGTGAGACGCAGAGTAGGTGAACGGATTATCTCCGCATGTGTGGTTCCCACAGCATTCTGCAGCGATACGCCATCCCATCTGGTTTGGGCTTAGTGGGACTATCATTTGTTTTTCAACAGGACAATGACCCAACACACCTCCAGGCTGTGTAAGGGCTATTTAACCAAGAAGGGGAGTGATAGAGTGCTGCATCAGATGACCTGGCCTCCACAATCCCCCGACCTCAACCCAATTGAGATGGTTTGGGATTAGTTGGGCCACAGAGTGAAGGAAAAGCAGCCAACAAGTGCTCAGCATATGTGGGAACTCCTTCAAGACTGTTGGAAAATCATTCCTCATGAAGCTGGTTGAGAGAATGCCAAGAGTGTGCAAAGCTGTCATCAAGGCAAAGGGTGGCTACTGAAGAATCTCAAATATAAAATATATTTTGATTTGTTTAACACTATTTTGGTTACTACATGATTCCATATGTGTTACTTAATAGTTGATGTCTTCATTATTATTCTACAATGTAGAAAATAGTAAAAATAAAGAAAAACCCTTGAATGAGTAGGTGTGTCCAGACTTTTGACTGGTACTGTATATACATACAGTATATCCTTATATGATTCATAAAGATCCTTTTTTTTGAGTACATGCAAGAGTAACACACACACACACACACACACACACACACACACACACACACAACACACACACACACACACCAACAACACACACACACACACACACACACACACACACACACAACAACAACAACAACAACAACACACACCTGTCTGTGGGAGTCATGAGGAGGACAGAGAAATAAACCTTTTCAATTCAATTCAAGGGCATTATGGGAAACATATGTTAACATTGCCAAAGCAAGTGAAGTAGATAATAAACAAAAGTGAAATAAACAATAAATATTAACAGTAAACATTACACTCAGAAGTTCCAAAAGAATAAAGACATTTCAAATGTCATATTATGTCTATATATACAGTGTTGTGGTCCTCTGTAGCTCAGCTGGTAGAGCATGGCGCTTGTAACGCCAGGGTAGTGGGTTCGATCCCCGGGACCACCCATACGTAAAAATGTATGCACACATGACTGTAAGTCGCTTTGGATAAAAGCGTCTGCTAAATGGCATATTATTATTATTATTATTATTATTATAGGGGGTATAGTTATTATTATTATTATTATTATATTATATTATTGTAACGATGTGCAAATAGTTCAAGTATGAATGGGAAAATCAACATAAATATGAGTTGTATTTACAATGGTATTTGTTCTTCACTGGTTGCCCTTTTCTTGTGGCAACAGGTCACAAATCTTGCTGCTGTGATGGCACACTGTGGTATTTCACCCAGTAGATAAGGGAGTTTATAAAAAAATTGGATTTGTTTTTGAATTCTCTCTCTCATGCACACACACCACACACCACACACACCGTGTTTCCCTGTGTTAAATGAGAGAACATCTCCCTCACATTTTTCCGGATCATTCCTGCTCTGCTAAGGAGCGGAACGCTTTCCTACCACACTGTAATTACACACACACACACACACACCAAAACACACACACACACACACACACACCAAAACACACACACACACCAAAACACAGAGAGAGAAAGAGGAGAGAGAGAGAGAGAGAGAGAGAGAGAGAGAGAGAGAGAGAGAGAGAGAGAGAGAGAGAGAGAGAGAGAGAGAGAGAGAGAGAGAGAGAGAGAGAGAGAGAGAGAGAGAGAGCAGACGGGTAGATGAGCTCCTGAATTTTTCAGCATGTTTTTACAAAAATATAGATTTAGAGTTAGATAAACTTGTTTTTTTTGGCAAGGACCTATACAGGATGCTACCCTCCACAACATAACCTTCACTCCAAACAGGCAGGGACCTATACAGGATACTACCCTCCACAACATAACCTTCACTCCAAACAGGCAGGGACCTATACAGGATGCTACCCTCCACAACATAACCTTCACTCCAAACAGGCAGGGACCTATACAGGATGCTACCCTCCACAACATAACCTTCACTCCAAACAGGCAGGGACCTATACAGGATGCTACCCTCCACAACATAACCTTCACTCCAAACAGGCAGGGACATATACAGGATGCTACCCTCCACAGCATAACCTTCACTCCAAACAGGCAGGGACCTATACAGGATGCTACCCTCCACAACATAACCTTCACTACAAATCAAAACTCCAAACCTACGATCTGATTCGACAGAATTACCTGGAAGGATTCTTACTACCAAAGATTCTTATTCCCAAACTATACAGCAAATGCTCTGGCAAACAAACAGAACCCTGAAAACACCATCCAACCTGGAACTGAGTGAGTCATGTTTAGTCTGAAGCTACTTTTAAAGCCAAGAAGAAAGAAAAATACATTACAATTATATATTTCACTTTATAAGGGTTGAATGCTAAGTTAAGGCTACCAAGCTTGCTAGGACAGAACATATCTGACTGCAAATTCAATTCGTACTGAGGTGTGAAGTGAGAGGTGTCAAAGCCCTTGAGCCCAACAATGGCAGGAGAGTTTCACAGTCTTACCCCCCCCATGTCATTACAATATACCCTCTGGATTACATTTACATTTACATTTTAGTCATTTAGCAGACGCTCTTATCCAGAGCGACTTACAGTTAGTGAATACATCTTTTTTTTTTATACTGGCCCCCCGTGGGAATCGAACCCACAACCTATCAACTGAGCTACATCCCTGCCGGCCATTCCCTCCCCTACCCTGGACGACGCTGGGCCAATTGTGCGCCGCCCATGAGTCTCCCAGTCGCGGCCGGCTACGACAGAGCCTGGATTCGAACCAGGATCTCTAGTGGCACAGTTAGCACTGCGATGCAGAGCCTTAGACCACTGCACCACTCAGGAGTCTATACAAAAGAAAAAAAATGACAAGGCACTAAAAGAGTACAAAAGGAATATCCTTATGGAAAATCAAGAGACACTTTTTGCTGACTATTGTAAAAATGTGAACATAAGCAACTTAATCTTCCACACAGGACTCTGAGTCAGCCAATGTCAACCTGTTCAAGTCTGGAGCAGTAATGGTCCAGGGCAACCCCAAACAGTTTCAGATGGACTTTTACCTAATCAAAGAAATAGCTCAGCAGGAGAAGCTCTCTCTTGAGAAAGATACCCCTACCCCGAGCGTGTCAGACCAGACCTCTTCATTAAACAACCCCACAGACGAGAAACCCCAAGCAGAAAGTCAACCTCCCAGCACAGAGCACTACTCCCTCATTGAAATGAAGGATAAATTCACCCAGCTGGAGGTAAGGCAGGTGGAGCTGGAACAGCAGGTGAACAGACTCCAGTCAGCACAGACCCAGACAACAGTCACGCA